GGACCCAGGCCCACCATCCACTGGCCACTCTGTGTTTCTAATTCCAAATTCCCAAGGGAGACGCTCTACCTGGTCCTCACTCTCGGAGCCAGCCCCCCACTCCCACACATCACGGACAGGCCATGGATGGGCCACCCGTGGGCCCATGTCATATAGGCTGTACCTGATTTTTTTCCAAGGACACCAGTTGAACTGGTGACCTCATTTTTAACTTGGTCATTTCTGTCAATACCCTATCTCCAAATAAAGTCACATCCTGAGGTACAGGGGTTAACACTGCAGCATATCCTTTTTGGAGGGACACAATCCAACCCATAATAGACTGGAACAAGGTTTGGGGTTGGGTGGCAAACGTGTCCCGTCTTCCCACAGCCCACCCCTTGATGGCCCGTTGCACATATGCTCTACTCCATTTCTTCAGTGCCATGAAGAAAAGCAAGGAAAATCCCACATGAACCGTGGTGGGCAGAATCACAGACATCTCGGTCCACTTCCCACTTTCCAGAGGGAGGCTCCCCAGAGTTAGCTCCACCCACCAAATCTGTATTCCCAGGTGTGGGGCCGGGGTGGTGGCTCACTGGTAGAGTGCTTGCCTAGCAGGCATGAGGCACTGGGTTCAATCCCTGGCACCACATAAAAATGAACAAATAAAATCAAAGTATTGTATTCAAAGGTATGGGGTACCTTAGCTGGTCTCCGAATCCCCAACCTCCAAATAAGCCTGACTCCTTCTCTGGGTGTTTCCCTCTCACTCATGTGTGACTCCTCCCACTGTGATCTGTGTCTAAATGCTGAAAACTTGCCCACACTCAGTAGGTCCCATCCGCAGAGTGGGAACCCCTGGTCTTAACCTAGAGCCTGCACATAGCAGCACCCGTTGCTCTGGGGGCAATAATAGCGTGTCTATGCTACACACTGTTTTAACCCTCAGAGAAGTCATGTCACCTTCCCTGAGTCACACAGCTCATGAGGGTGAGAGCCTGAAATCAGCAGCCACGTCCACTGTGGTGTGCGGTGTGTGGTCTCTGAGTTACCACGTGAGACGCATTCTGTTTGGGCAAGTGGAGGGAGGATTGGTTCTGTAGCAATGAGGAAGGAAACTTCTCTAGCACTTGACAATTACCTTGTCACTGGCGGGTGATGAGGTTTTTTTTTTTTTTTTTTTTTTTTTTTTAAAGAGAGAGTGAGAGAGGAGAGAGAGAGATTTTTTTTTTTTAATATTTATTTTTTAGTTCTCGGCGGACACAACATCTTTGTTTGTATGTGGTGCTGAGGATCGAACCCACGCTGCACGCATGCCAGGCGAGTGCCCTGCCGCTTGAGCCACATCCCCAGCCCGGGTGATGAGGTTTATAATAAGATTGAGGATCTCGGGAGCATGAGCTGAGTTAGAAATGGACCTCCCCAGTTCCTTTCATTCAAGCCAAAGGGAGTTGGAGAGAACTGTACCACCCAAGGGTCTGGTTGGGCCCAACACTTGGGAATGACCCCAAGGGCCCAGACTGAGCTGGGCTCAGTTCAAATCTAGGTAGCTGGCTGACAAGGCCGAGGGTGATTCTGGGTTCACTTATGTGACCTTAGTGGGCTCTGAGGTTCTGGGGAACTTGTAAATCAGAAGCAGGGATATAGCAACGTTAGCTTCTCTGCCGACTTTTATTAGCTGGACTAGGCCTGAAGACCACATCTGTGTCCATCCGGCAGCTTGGCGGTTTCAATCCGGTCACAACCTGCTTGTATCGGCTCTGGAGTCCTCTCATGGCCCTGTGGCTTAGTGCTCTGATCAGGAAGGCAGGCCACAGCCAAGTCCGCAGGAGCCTTCCGTCTCCACCTACCTCTGTGCGAGTCTCCAGGAAATGCTGCCATTAAAGCTTGCTGGTGAGGAAGAGTCTTTGGAGGGACTGGAACTCCCATGTACTGGGGAGGAGCCAGAGGTGAGAGGAGGTGGCAAGGCCCCTGGAGGACTCGGAGCTGGAGGCCCTGGCGCCACTGACTCCTCCCAGATGTCCCCGTTCCCATTACTCAAAACCCAATCTTCACCAATTAGTAACCACACCTGGCTTTGTGACTACACAGCACCAAGGGTGTTTCCGCTGACTGCAGAAACCCATCAATCATTCATAGGTGGAACCATGAGCTATAAAAATGTGTCAACAGTGACGGTGCTTGATGACCAGCTGCTTTTGTCAACTGGCTTCTAGTCACATAATGGGACCAGAATCATCACGCTTCTTACAGCTGCTCTACTCCTGCTCCGCAACCACGTCGGCCAAGCCTCATCCTCTGGGGGGCTGTGACTTATCTCAGGGCATCTCAGGCCACAGCTTCATAAGTGCTTCACCCTACAGACGCTGGCTCGAGTTTTCCACCCCAGAATAGGAGCCCTCACTGCCTTCCACCTCCAATGATACTACAGTGGGTCCCAGTGACCGAAGGCACTCCTATGGAACCACCCCACTCTTGGAAGTCACTTCTGTTGCAACCAGAGCTGAAAAGAACAGGCGAGCTGCACACTGTGGTGCAGGCCTGTGATCCCAGGGCTTTGGGAGGCTGAGACAGGAGGACTGCAAGTTCAAGGCCAGCGTAAGCCACTTAGCAAGATCTTGTCTCAAAAATTGAAAAATAAGAAGGACTAGGGCTGTGGCTCAGTGGAAGAGTGCCCCTAGGTTCAATCCCCAATACCACAGAAAGAAAGAAGGGAGAGAAGAACGAAAGAAAGTTTTAAAAAAAGAGAAAAGAATAGAAACGAAAAGAAAAAAACAAAAAACATATCTGTACTCAAATACAAGGCGGTGTTGGGGTTTCTTGGCTGGCACTGAGGTTTTGCTGTTCGGGCATCTTGCAGTTCCTGGCGCCCCCTTGGAGCCTGTAACTTCCCCAACTCAGCCACTCCGCACCCTATTCCTTCTCTCAATATCATTGGCCAACTGTCTTCAGGGTCTTTTAGTAAAAATACCCAAGAGAGAGAATTTGATTGGCTCAACTCACTTTTAAAGAAAGCCAGCCTACAATTCGTAGCCAGGGCCAATGAGTGGAGAGGCCAGCGTGGGGTCACGTGTCCACCTCCAGTTCAACTGGCTGTGACAGGGATGGAGGGGACGTCAAGAAGTTCAATCTCCTGAGGTGGACATAGGAAGGGCGTGCAAAAGATGGACATCTCTAGAAACTAGATCCCCAGTGAACTGTAGGCACGTATACCTGTGCTCACCATTTACAGACGCCGACCGCACACACACAGTCTATCAGCACCCACCTTCAAATATACAAATAGACACACACAGTGCACAGACGACTTACATCTGTTTCACTTAAAATTTTTAAAGATATTTTTTTTAGTTGTCAATGGACCTTTATTTATTGATATGTGGTGCTGAGATTTGAACCCAGTGCCTCACACATGCTAGGCAAGCTCTCTACCACTGAGCCCCAGCCCCAGCCCACACTTAAAATTTTTGACTTTACAAAGGTGCAAGAGTCAGACATATTCAGCAGAAGCCATACTTGAATTTTGAATTTTGTTCTTTTCCCAGGCAGATATCTTGATCCTGGGCAGCAGCAGTGAGCCACAGCTCCAGCCAGCCACGCCATCATGGTGGTGATCAGCCAGTACTCCAGAATGTACTGTGCTGCTCAGCTGTGATGTGTGGTGGGTTAGGGGTACTCTGTGCTTTTTTTTTGTACTGGGGATTGAACCCAGGGTACTTTATCACTAAGCCACAGCCCCAGTCCTTTCAATTTTTTATTTTGAGAAACAGTCTTGCTAAGTTGCTGAGGCTGGCCTCTAACTGGCAATCCTCCCACCTTGACCTCCTGAGCCACTGGGATTAGAGGTGTGTGCCATCACGCCCAACTTTCACTGTGTTTTTGTATTATGATATTTTTAACTTACAGTGGGCTTATTGGGATGTGACCCCATGGTCAGTGGAGCACCACTGTATACCCATACATACACACCCTCATCCACTTGTGCCATGTTCACGACCACCTATACACTACATACACCTGTATGCACACTCACCCACGTACATACACAGTAGATGTACATCTATGCCCCGCAATGTACTTGCGTTTCTTCATATGCACAGAATTTCACACACATCTGTATGTGTACACAATGTACAGATACCCGTAAGCACATATATGCAATGCATGATATCCAACTGTATACACACATCCATGGATAAATGCATGTATATACATACACACCTGCCCAAACACATTATGTTAGGTTTTCATCACCAAAATACCTGAAAAGGAGAACTTAGAAGAGGAAAGGTTTGCCAGGCACGGTGGCACACACCTGTAATCCCAGCGGCTCACGAGGCTGAGACTCAGCAAAAGTGAGGTACTAAGCAACTCAATAGGACCCTGATTCTAAATAAAATACAAAATAGGGCTAGGGATATGACTCTGCATCAAGTGCCCCTGAGTTCACTCCCTAGTACGCCCCCCCCCCCAAAAAAAAAGACGAGGAAAAGTTCATTTGGCTTATGGTTTCAGAGGTACAGTTTGTGGTGAGGCGACTCCATCATTCTGGGCCTGAGGGAGGCAGAGCATCATGGCAGAGGGGCCTAGCCAAGAAAGCCACTAGGAAGCAGAGAGGGACAGGAGGCTGAGTCAGGGCCAAAATATATAATCCCAAGTCATGTCCCTAGTGACCCACTTCCTTTAGTCGTGCTCCATCTGCCTACAGTCACCAGGCAGTGATCCAGTCCAGTTATTAACCCATCCCTAGATTAATCTGCTGATTAGGCTGCAGCTCTGGTAATTAGTCCTTTCACTTCCTGCATCGACACAGGAGCCTTGTGGGGACCCCTCATATCCAAACCATCACACGCACACACCGGACAGTCACACCTGCCTGCACTCGCCCCGCTGTGCACTCGGGTCACAAACACAGCCTAAAGCCACACAGCCCCCCCAGTGCCTGTGCACCCGGCTGCGCAGCCACACTCTCGCGCCTGCATCAGGAGCTAACGTGCCGCTTTCCCTTTCCTACAGCTATGGCCAGCACCCCGGGGCCCTTCTCCTTTCCCATGGCACACGTTGTCCTCTTTGTCTTTGTGGCTTCTGCCATCTTTCACCTCCAGCAGCGACTGGCGAGGCTTCAACCCCCAGGGGAGGTGCAGACACCAGCGCCGCAACCCATGCGAGAGAGGCCCACAGCCCAGCAGCTCCAGGGCATGTGGACCATCAACGCAGTAGGTCGCCTGGGGAACCAGATGGGCCAGTACGCCACGCTGTACGCCCTCGCCCAGCTCAATGGGCGGCCCGCCTACATCCCCGCGCAGATGCACAGCACGCTGGCCCCCATCTTCAGGATCACGCTGCCCGTCCTGCCCAGCGCCACGGCCCGCAGCRTCCCGTGGCGGAACTACCACCTCAACGACTGGATGGAGGAGCAGTACCGCCACATCCCGGGGCGCTACGTCCGCCTCACGGGCTACCCCTGCTCCTGGACCTTCTACCACCACCTGCGCCAGGAGATCCTGCGGGAGTTCAGCCTGCACGAGCACGTGCGCCAGGAGGCCCAGCGGTTCCTCAGGGGTCTGCGGGTGAACGGGAGCCGGCCCAGCACCTTCGTGGGGGTGCACGTGCGCCGGGGGGACTACGTGCGTGTCATGCCGCAGGTGTGGAAGGGCGTGCTGGCCGACAGGGGCTACCTGGAACAGGCCATGCGGCGGTTCCGAGAGCGCTTCAGGTCCCCCGTCTTCGTGGTCACCAGCAACGGCATGGCCTGGTGCCGGCAGAACATCGATGCCTCCCGTGGCGACGTGGTGTTCGCCGGCAACGGCCTTGAGGGCTCCCCCGCTAAGGACTTTGCGCTGCTCACACAGTGCAACCACACCATCATGACCATCGGGACCTTCGGGATCTGGGCCGCCTACCTGGCCGGCGGAGAGACCATCTACCTGGCCAACTACACCCTCCCAGACTCGCCCTTCCTCAAAGTCTTCAAGCCAGAGGCGGCCTTCCTGCCAGAGTGGACGGGGATCGCTGCAGACCTGTCCCCGCTACTCAAGCACTAAGGCTAGCCCCTCGTGGCCAGCCTGACCCTTCTCCTCTTCTGGCTCCCCCAAGATCAGTTCCAAGGCAAAAGGAACACAATGTTACAAGCACAGGACCCTTTCCCCTCCAGTGAGGATGCCTTGGGCTGCGAGGGATTTCCCAACGAATGTGTCCAAAGAACATATCTGTAGTCTGGCAAAATTGTCCAGAGGGACACAGCCCAGTGCTGGTTAACTGTCAGCTCAACAGCATTGTCGGTGACCTCAGCTGTCACTGTCTCTTCTTAGCCCAGTTGCCTCATGCTGCACCTCTCCCCCCAAAAAAGCTGCCATATATATGGGTGTCACACAAACAACCTCATCCAGAGACAGCAAAAAGAGATCATGCTGGGCACAGTGGCGCCCACCTGTAATACCAGCAGCTCGAGAGGCTGAGGCAGGAGGATCACGAGTTCAAAGCCAGCCTCAGCAAAAACGAGGCACTAAGCAACTCAGTGAGACCCTGTCTCTAAATAAAATGCAAAATAGGGCTGGGATGTGGTTCAGTGGCCCTGAGTTCAATCCCTGGTACTACACCACGCCCCCAAATAAAAGAGCTCATCATGGGTCCCTTTTGAAGAGGGAGGGAACTCTCTCTGAGTTCATTTTCCATTACCATAAAGAAATACCTGAGGCTGGATAACTTGATAAAGGTCTAGTGAAGATCTGATGGCAGATGGCACCACAGGGACAGAGGGGCAGGTGGGAGGCAGCAATCATACGGCCAAACAGGAAGCCAGAGCAGGGGGAGTGCCATATTGTTCTCTCTGTAATAACCTTTTTTTGCAAGAACTCACTCCAGGTCCCCTAAGAACTCCATCAATCCTTGGCGGGGTCAGTGCTTCTAATGACCTAAGGACCTCCCACTAGGCTCCACCTCTTAAAGGTGCACCACCTCTCACATCATCAGAGGACCATCATCCCAAGTCATGAAAACTTAGGGGACACCCTCAAAATCATGTTAAAACCATAGTATGTTCCTAAGCCTGCTAGCAACTTACTCCTCAATCTTTTGGGCAAGATTTGTGTCACATGCATATGTGGCCCATTATGAGGCCAATCTAATGGTAATACAACAGTGTGTTCAGCCTCAGATCCTACAGCTGAGGAGCTAACAAGCTCTTGAGAAGGACATGGCAATCTGCAGAGACCTGGGGTGTCATTGCCAAGAAAGAAATGGAGAATGGCTATAGAGTAAACAACAGGGATGCCCTGAGCTGTCACACAGATTTTTCACTGCACAAAACATCTGGTCAAAGGGGCAAGTGGGACTTAAGTAGTGCTATGGTCTACTCACCAGGCTGTGTCCCTGGGACTGTATGCTCCCCAACAGCTCCCTTTATTCCTAGTTAGTCCATCCAGAAGAGGAGCCTTCTCAGTTTGTACAAAAGCACCACACCGGCGAGTGGCTGGTGTGCATGGAGAGCAGACACCCCACCTCTGCAACTCTGACTCCCTACCACCAAGGCTGAGCGAGGCTGAGAACCTGGAGATCAGTATGGCTGAGTGAACTGGAGGGATTCCACCCATTTTTACAGTAAGTGTGTTACACACCCGGCCATGAAGACCCCATAAGACTCTTCTTTCTTGGATACATCTGTAATGACCACATAGATGATCAAAGAGTAACATTTACTTATTAAAATAAAAACTATTTAGCCACATTATGAACACAGCCATGGCAATTCTGAGGGGGTAGGGTCCTTGAAGGGTTATTATTTGGATATAGTAGGAGCTTCTAAATACATCTTAGGGGTAGACTAAACCCCATTTCAAGCCTGGGTCAAAGGACAAATTTTGCAACGATTTTATAAATCTTAAGGTACTTCTTCCAGACCACCCACAGATAGGTAGGGAACACTTACTGGGTAAGGAAAAGTGGCCTAGAGGCAGGCTGTGTGGAGAAAGGGTACAAGGGACAAGATGGCAGAGAGACCAGTGAGAATAGTGTGATATTCCCACTGTGAGGCGATAGGGAACCAGGCTGGTAATGAGGGGGAGCAAAGGGTTCTTTCAGGGGCCCCCAGAGTCCTTAGTATCTGCCACAAGTTCACCTTCCTGAAAGAGACAACCATTAAATGACCTCAGTTGGAGTCAAACATCCACGATGGGCCATTTACCTAAGGGTCTCGGAGGCGTCACCTAACAGAAGCACGGGGCTATATGTGGCCAGGGACTTCGTTCCAAGAGAAGGTGATGAAGGAGAACAGATGCTCCTTGACTAACAACAGGCTTACATCCCGTTAAAACAAACTGGGGTTGGGGTACCTCAGCCTAGCATGTGTGAGGCTCTGGGGAGGGAGGGAGAGAGGGAGGGAGGAGGGGAGGAAGGAAGGGAAGGAGGGAAAGCAAGCCAGGTACCCGCCTGTAACTCCAGCAGCTCAGGAGGCTGATGCAGGAGAATCGCGAGTTCAAACCCAGCCTTAGCAAAAGTGAGGAGCTAAGCAACTTAGTGAGACCCTGCCTCTAAATAAAAAACTACAGAATAGGGCTGGGGATGTGGCTCAGTGGCCGAGTGCTCCTTCAGTTCAATTCCCAGTATCGCACCCCCTCCCCCACCAAAAAAAAAAAAAAAGAAGAAGAAAAAAGAAAACGAAAACTGGGACCAGTTAAACTTTAAAAGTTTGCTTGGGCAAGAAAAAAGTTCTGGAATGGAGCAGAATTCTATGCTCCCCCCAACCCACCTGAACAGATTACATGTATAGCCAGAGAAGAGGAAGGGCCAGACAAGAACAACCTGATTGGCTGCAGTCACATTGCCTTATATGGGCATGTTCTGGCAGCTTTCAGCCTCTGATTGGTTGGAGATTCAGCTGCTATGATTGGTTACAGGGACATCCTCTTAGGTTAAGTTATGACAAACCAGTACCAAAAGTGAGGTCTTATGCACCAAAAGTGAGGTGGTACTTCAGGACATATGGAGACCACTTTGGGCCAAACTTTGTCATACAAGTGTGGAGACAAGTGTTGGCCAAACTTAAAAATTTCATAGTCCTAAGAATTTACCCATCATAAGTTGAAAAATTTTAAAATCCAAAGTGCTTTTAACACACTTAACCTACCTAGCCTCCCAGCTTAGCCAGGGGTATCCTGCAGCTGTCAGTTGTTTACCCTGATAATCGTGGGCTGCAGCTCACCGTTGGTGCCCATCATGGTTGACAGAATATGGACCGAATATCACTAGCTGGACGTTATACAGCTTGAATGGTCACTGAACCAGGTGATCCAGGAAAGTCCAATGTAAAAGAACTGAGGCATGGAACCATGAGATGGGAGGAAGCCAGGCAGATCCAGCACAGAGCCATATATTGGGGAATTACTGAGAAAAGTATGGTCAAGTGCAGCAGCAAGACCAGTAGATCCCCAAGACTTGGGACAGAGGGAGGGGGCTTACATAGTGGTCAAGATATAAGCGACTCATCAAGCCAGAATGGAGCTGGTTTATTCCAAGCTAATGTGAAGGATGTCAAGTAAATTCCTGGTGCTGACCTGTGATTCCATTTATATGAAGTCTCCAGAGACAAATCCATAGACAGAAAATAAGATTAATGGCTGCCTGGAGCTGAGTAATGGCTGAAGGTCTTGGGTTTCTTTTTGGGGTGATGACACATTATAAAATTGATTATGGTGATGGATGAGCAACCCTGAGTATACCCAGAGCAACGGAGTGTACACTTTCAGTGGCTGAATTGTCTACTATGTGAATAAAGTCCCAGAAAAGCTGCTGAGTAAAGATTCACCACCCCAGTGGCCACTGTGATTTTTGGTAGTTGTGTAACCAGCACTTCAATCAAGATATAGACACGTTCCATCACCCTGAAGAGTATCAGTGCTCCTAGGCAGTCTCCCAACTCCCAGCCGGAGGCAACCACGGATCTGCTTCTGCCATTCCAGCTTTGTCCTTTCTAGAACTTCATGTAAAGACTCATTCTATGTTTAGGTTCTTTTGTTTGACTCTTTCCCTTCTGCATCCCATCTCCCAGACTTGCCTGTGCTCTGGAGCATATTAGCTGTGAGCTCTCTTTTCACCACCAAGTAATATTCCTGGAACAATGCCGCTGCCGCTGGTGTCTCACATGATATTTGGTGGACAGACGTTGCTGATGTTTTCAGTTCAGGGCTATCGTCAATATTATTATCAACATTTGCGTACATTATGTAGACATGTTTTCATTTCTCTTGGGGAAATACCTAGAAGTGGTACCATGAGGTCACAGAGAAGAAATGATTTGTCTGAGGTCCCCAACTAAGAGCCCAAGATTGGATGGTAACTTTGCTGACCCAGGGAGGAGAGGGGCTGACCCTCTAGGGCATGCAGGGGGCATGGCTCCCATTCAATTCTCCTCCCAAGGTTCAGCCGCTTGTCCCCTCCCTGCCCTGGCTCCCAGGCCCTTATCCCCAGGCTTCTGGTGGAGTGGGGAGCTGTGGAGGGGTTCCCACTAGGGGAGTGGAGAGAAGAAATAAGGTGGACATAAAACACTGAACAGGAGTCTGTGGACAGAAGAAATGGAGAGGCGTGTGTTTAGCAATACAGAGAGGAGAGGGAGAAAAGGAGAGAGAAGGAAGAGGAAAGGACAGTCCATGTGGCCGCGTCCTCTTGGGAAGTGTAAGTTAAGTTGGTAATTCTGGTAATTTGGCAAACACATTCTTGTTCCTTTACAAGCTCCAGATAGAAACACCCACCTTCTGTTGAGGTCAGGGGGTGGCAGGAGTGTGGCAGAAGATGTTGCTTGGTGTTTGTGAGGATGGCCTGAGGTCTGAGCCTAAGCAACTCCATTTTAAAACTGCAGCTTGAAACCTGCAGTCTCACCAGGCACACCTAAGGGAGCCCTCCAGTAGGGCCTGAGGCACAAACAAGTCACCTCTCCCACCCTGACAAACTCGGAGTGAAGCCTCTGGCAGGGAAAGGTGAAAAAATCAGAGTGGGGACACCAGGCCAGATGTTTTAACCCCTGGGTAAATGATGTCACTGAGAAATCCGGTGGTAGCTGATGAGGATTGAAAGGGGGGGGGTCAAAAGCCCCAAAATTTAGTATAAATAATAGAGCAAATGAACAGACATTCAGCCAGCCAACACTGATGCACACAGCTGGATGCACATCACTCCTGATGAGGACCTGGACTGACATCCCATCGCTTGTCATTGTTTCCCTGATCCTCTGCATGGTCCTCACCGCTTTCAAACCCTACAGCCACATCTTGACCCTGGTGAGAGCCACAACTTCTCCCTAGGACCGCCTCCTCAGCTGCCCGTCAGCTCCACCCAGGAGA